CCCCCCACCCACACACACACCCCTGCCAGTGCTAAAATTCAATGATGATCATGACTTTGAAATTGGTGAATATTCATTTCTGGATTCAAATCCACTAAAAAATAAAACACAGCATGATAACAAATTACACACATACATGTACATGTAACAGGACTTACAAGGGCAGAACATCACACTAATTCCAAGTGTATAAAAATTTCACCTTATTTCATTGAAGTACACTTATTTTAAACTGCTATGTACCAAAATTTGTGCACTCCCTGACCTAACCTTGATCCCAGATAATACATGATTACAACATACACATAACAGGACTTAAAACTGCAGATAGAGCATCACACTAATTTCAAGCACAATACAGTACATTTTATTTCATCAAAGTACACTTATTGTAAACTGCTATGTACCAAAGTTTGTAGACTCCCTGACCTAACCTTGATCCCAGATAATACATGATTACAACATACACATAACAGGACTTAAAACTGCAGAGCATCACACTAATTTCAAGCACAATACAGTACATTTTATTTCATCAAAGTAGACATATTTTAAACTGCTATGTACCAAAGTTTGTGGACTCCCTGACCTAACCTTGATCCCAGCTTCCCTGAGAATAGCCCATTTTCACGTGGCCACATCGCCCCCCACTGAACAGGCCAAGCTGGGAGCATTTAACCCAGCCGTAATTCGTCAGCATACAAAAAGTAAGAGGATAACACACATAAAAACACATCAGATGTGAAAGTGGCTTACAGGATCTGTGCAGAATTGCTCCCATATCACTTATTATCAAGGGTAACTGACCCACCCTGGGGTTCATCCAGAGGCCAAGCCATGCATTGACATACTTTCTAATAGTCTTTGTCGTACGTTAACTGCTAATTCTGTGATGATCCCTCACTCTTCTAAGCAATGCCGTTTCATTACCGATCTTGTAGGGCTCCGTGCTTTGTCAACTGCAGACCATTTGAGTTTAAAGACCAGCATTTTGGGCATTGTCAGCAGTCTCTTGTGTTGAGATTTATGTTTGCTGTGTGGTGTTAAGCGCCCATTCGCTGTGGAAGGAGAGTACACGGACTCAGAATGTAATTTACCGAATCTTCCGTCATTGCTACACTGTACGTCCAATTTGGCTCCTTGGTAGAGTTCATATAGGGTTCATATAGAGGGCAGAGCTAGGCTGCTGGATATTGTATAAAATGTAATGATTCATTTAATTTTATCAGAAAGAGGTATGTCAATGTGATTATGACCATTAGGTGTCATTATGACCAACAGACTCCAGTGATATTGGCTCAATTTTCTTCAGCCATATATTTTGAAATATTTGTGTTGCTTTGACGTGTTCCATTTTGCAATGACCTTGTACTTCTTTGGTACTGTAAGATTGATATTCAAAGATGTATGAAATGGGAAAAGTAACTGAAACACCACATATCACTTTAATTTCTTTCTCTGCTTACATGTGTATGGCTATTTCAATGACATTCTATAATTAAAGGTGCTATTCCTATACCTCAAGATTTTAATTGTCATGGAAATCCTTCAAAATTTTGATTGATATGCAACCATGTCTGTCACCATGGTAACTGGTGTTGGGTTACATCATGTTGTAATTTTATAGCAGGAGGGATTTAGACTCCTGTCTGACCATATATATGAATGTGGCAGGAGTAAGATTTAACAGAGCAAACCATACAGGTAAACATTATGCATTTGCTTTGCAAATGTTACCTTTCTAGTTAAATGTCTGTTTTTCCTGTCTACAGTGTATGATCTTCCCGAGCGACCCAACGACATCCGACTGTTTTACTCGTGCATGTCGCGGCTGATGATTTCGCTCGTCGGCAGACCGCCTTCCTCGAACACCGAGGAGCCGAGACGAGCCTCGTCGGTGGACAGCTCTGTCGTGGAACGGATGGCAGCGCAGAGGAGACCTCCAGAACCACAGCAGAAACTGACAAAGTATGCACCTTTGACTGATAAAGATAACATGTCATATCAGGACTAAAATAACACCTACATTTGTTGCTTTTACATATTTAAGTGAAGGTAAAATTTGGGCTGTGCAGGTATTTCTGATGTCTACCTGTACCTATATTGCAATGGTTCATGTACAGTAACTGGGTATAATAATCATATAGTGCAATAGGTATGTGGATTTTTATTTCATACTGCATATTGTCTGTTTTTTTTGTATGATCCATACTTCCTGAATTCTAAGACTGGTGGTGCAGGTAATTTTGAATCACCAGTGCAGGTATGCAGAGAAAACTATTTTGAGCCCTGTATATGCATAGTGTGTTCAGAGCCTGTATATGCTGTATCTAGTGTCTTCTCTGTCATGATCAGTGGAAGAGTAGCTTAACTTTTCATTAAGCTAAACTGGTTCGAGATCACTGTCTTTCTCTTCCACATAATGTAGCTTTGACTCCATGGTTCTCTCAGAATGAGCCAATCACATGATGCTATGTCTTACTTACCGGTGCTAATGTCATTTACTTTTGCCATAAAGCCAATCTCAGGGGCGCTTTTACATCAATTCAAACATTACCGTGGTTAAATTGACAGAACCTCGAGCCAGGGATCCCTAACTCAATACAAAATACCCATCTGAAACCTGTGGTTTTCAGACAGAAACCAACATTTGAAAATTAGCAAACATGCAATTTTGCAAGCAAAGAAATCCAGGACTGTCATCATTTCCCATTTAGTCAATTTCTGTCTTGCTGATGGTGTTGGGAGGTATGTTTGAACCCAAGTAATCACTGTCATGATCTTGTGTCCTTGGAGTAGATTGGACCAAATTGGAGGCAAAACTCAGGCATCCTACAATTTTGAAAGTGACAGAAAAAAGTATTCTGTGCCCTGAGTACTGTAATCTTGTGTCCTTGCTGGCAATTCTGCTAAATTGTAGGTTAAGATTATAACTTAGATCCACCCATGCCCAGTGGCCTACAGGCAAAAAGCTTTCTCTGCTCCAAGGCAGGGTTTCTGTTTCTGTCAGCTTAATCTTTTGAGAAGATTCTGCCAAGCTCAGATTCTTAACATGATACGTGGACTTCATAAAGTGTTTTGGGCCTGAATGAACATCCTGTGTACAGGCAAACAATCCCATGTAATTGCGTCTTGTAGTTTTGAATGATAAGGAATGGATCAAATTACATTGTGTTGTATTTTATGCTAATCAATATCATCATGTTTTTTTGTTTTTGCATTAATGCGCTCAATCTTTTAAATTAAGTAAATTTAATTTAATAATCTTATGATATATGTACGTGGAGGCACAATTCAGCCCTCGTCTTTTATTGATTGATAGAACTTGTTACAATCTTGAAAATGTTTTTGGTGTTTCTCTTCTCTATGCAGTTCTCCACCTGTAAAAGGCACACCCGTCACAAAAGCATTTGTCACTGACAAACCCAAGAAAGACGAAGCAGATCAGACGACGATTTCCTCCAAATCCTGGAGCGTCCAGCCTGAACAGCTAATGCTGCTGGCACCTGGTACTGGTTAGTATTGTGCTGTATCTCCAAATATCAACCAAATAACACAACAAATCTCAGGCAACTGTTGTGTCCTTGTGAAAGGCTATGCCTATTTCAGCACATATCTCAGGTGAAAATGAGTACCTAGCTTCAGTTAGGGATGTTCTCTTGGATAGGACGTAAAACTCAAGGTCCTGTGTTTGAGGAGAGACACACCTTGAGCATGCTTAAGATCCCATCACACTTTTTGAAAAGAGCAGTGCTCCTTCATGGCGTGAGTGGTTCAAACCTATAACAGCTGGTTATATTACACTGCACAACTTGTCACACTTAGCCTTTGCACATCTAACTGTAAGCATTGTTTTAAAGCTATTTAGTGATCATGCCCCTACTGTACTTGGTGGCAGTGAGTTCCACTCTAAGATAGGTCTAGGTAAAATTTAGTATGCACAGTCTTTCTGATGCTTAATATGTAGTAATGTGTATCTTATTTCTCTAGGTGGAGACTTGGACACTGCACAAGTACAGGTTCTAAACCACACCGATAGAGTCATGAGGTATGCACATTAAGTTCTTCTGGAAGCAAGGAGTAACACCAACTCCAACTATCACAACATGTTCGATAAATGTTTTGCCCTGCAAAATTCTATAGAATTTTTATATTCTTGTGTTAACCTTAATCCTACAATATTCATGTCGTTCTTATGTTATTTAATGAAATCAAATTATGTAATCTAATTCAAACTAGTACGCTAGAACGTAGTAATTATTGAAGTTGAGTTATCAACCAGATGAAATTATTAACGAAAGTTAATCTTACAGTTTTGAGCTGTCCTGGCCTGGCCATTGTTTGACAGTTACACCACAGCATGGTAAAGTTGATGCAAGGTAATGACATGTGTTTCTTTATTCCTCAATAGTCCCTTTTTTCTGAATAAAGTAGACTTATTTTGGTGAATAAGGTTCTGTCCTCAGTGCTGAAACGTTGGCTGTTGTGCATGACTATTGGCACTGTCTGAGGTGCTGAAAACCTGTTGTGTCTCCATTGAATCTGCAAAAATAAAACCACTGATATTTCAAGATTTGCAGTAAAAACTGTTAGTAGCTGATCTGTTGTTCCCCATCTTCCAAGGGTAAGACATGCTTGCACGAAAATGCTAAGGCTTGATGGCAGCCTGCCACTTGCCTCTATCCTGTGGGATGACGTTATATAGGTTAAGGTGGTGGAGGTCCTCCCTCATGTTGTTCATCCATCTCTTCCCCTGGACTGATTGCTTCCTTCAGGAGCCATCAGGTGATCCTGGTGAGCCCTAACCCAGCGACGCAGGGCAAGGCAGACATCTTTCCCTGGAGGGGGAACCTCTTCATACACTGTGACAACGGACAGAAGGTACATGTAGGTTCTTATGGAAACTTCCCAGCTGGTTAAATATCTTTAAAGAAAATGTTTTAAAAGTGTTTTAAAAGTGTTATTCTTTAAAAATGTTGAGTGCGATGCCATGTTTTGAGAAGTTATTAACAGTCCTACAATTGTATGTATGTTTGCTAATGCAAACAGGGGTCATTTGGTGCCTCATAGAAAACTGTACATATAATGAATGAATAGCAAGGTCTTTATTCATAACCACTGGTTTAACAAGAGCCAACATTTTGATGACCATCTGTCATCTTGATCAGGGCAATTCCGACTGGTTCACCGTGCACTCAAGCCAGACCTTACATGAACTTTTGAATTTTGGGCAATGTTTGAATGTGTACACTCACTTTTCCTTCACCAAAACGTTGTTAGGCTGTGAAAATCCAGATCCGGGAAGACCTGGCCCTGGAAAAGTCGACCTTCACGTCGGGAGTGACACAGCTGCAGCCTCTGGTGAACCAGGATGCCACACCTCACGTCACTCCTGCTGCAGGGACACATGAGGAGAAGTCTCCAACTGCTGAGGTGTCCGTCGCAAGTAAAGTGCTGAAGTTCCCACCAACCAGGAAGGGGGAGACTGCAGGTATAGAAGTCTTTTGTTTAAAAGCATCTTTATTACAATATATAGTATATACCAGATGAAAGGTTTCTTGGGTAAAGCCTAGGTCAGCCCTTTATCTCTTGCTATACAAAGAGGAGGGCGCAAGGCAAGTAAGACAAAATGTTAAAAGTTACTATGTGCACGGGACATTTTGGTGTTTCAATTTAAAGCCATTTTTACACATGAATTGCAAGTACATTTTATACATTTATATATAAAAATATGTTCTAAAAGTGTGAGAAGTCTACATGTAAAAGAAACAAACACTTATTGAAAAGAGTAGGAGTGATATGACGAAACTGGGCTGGGTTCTTAAAACCAGTCATAGTAAACCACATTGTACATTTCTGTTTGGTGTAATATTTCTTGTCCTCCATGTTTTGTTGTGCAGAAAGTTGTCTGGACTTCAGAAATTCTTCAGAGAAAGAGATGAAGTGGGAGTTGACATCATTTGCTCCTGCTTATGTCAAGGTACATAAGATAGTTTAGTTTTGTAGTATTGTTGTATTACTGCCACACATTGTATCATGTACGATTGTAGAACAATAAAGTTCATTCATTTATATAACGTTACATATTTCTTCTAGTAGGGACTACGAAAAAAAAGTGGTCACAATGGCCAGGTTGTCCTTTTGTAGATGTGGTGACTTGTTGAATGTACCGGTATTTTGTATACTGCTTTGATTGACATATCTGTTGTAATTGCTCCTATCCTAGGGTGTAGATGACACAAACGACATATTCCGTGCGACGTACACAGTGTTCAGATTCGCTCGGATCAGCGGAACACTTGGTGGAACGGAGAGAATACAGGTGAACCTATCAGTATCTAGTGGTCAAACACCATCGCTGTGTTGACACAATATTTGTAGATTTGTAGGAAATATATTGGAAACCTTGATTTTTTTCCAAAGTCAGTAATCAAGGTCTTTCAACCTCAAGCTGAACTTCCACACTTAAGTCCTAAGAAACCTCACTTTTTCTCAGACTGTGGCTTTTTGTGCTCAATGCAAGGCCTATACGACCACTTCTCGACATTGAATTAGAAATATGAGAGAGACATGGCTATGTCGAGAGATGGTGAACGTTTGTACATGTAGCCTGTAGATTGTAGGTTGGTGGGAAACACTTGTCAGGGATGGACTTCCAAAGCTTGGCCGTACGGGGAAAGAAACTGTCACTGTAAAAAGATTTCGAACAAGGAATTTGGACGGTGAAGTTGTGTGAGCTAGTGTGAAGTTGTGTGAGCTAGTGTGAAGTTGTGTGAGCTAGTGTGAAGTTGTGTGAGCTAGTGTGAAGTTGTGTGAGCTAGTGTGAAGTTGTGTGAGCTAGTGTGAAGTTGTGTGAGCTAGTGTGAAGTTGTGTGAGCTAGTGTGAAGTTGTGTGAGCTAGTGTGAAGTTGTGTGAGCTAGTGTGAGCTTCCAAGTGCCATCTTTACTTTTGATCCTTTACTAGGCTTTAGACATAACAGATTTCTTGTTGTTTTTCACAGATCCCTGTGACTTTTATTCCGAGGGAGATCGGCAGCTATTCCCAGTTCTGGGATCTACAGGTACTGTCTACCATTTAGCTCTGTGAAGCAATTTCGGTTTGTAAAAACTTCTGAAACTTTTTAAAATGTATTCTTTTAGCTAGGGAAACTTACAAGTTAACTGCTTAAAAGATACTAACAGATGACAGGTAATCAATGTGCTTTTAACCTCACACAAGTAGTGGCCGTTATCTTTCTCAAAAAGAAGTTGCAAAACTCCTTGAAGTAAAGACTGGAGGCCGAATCCCTCACGGTGAGGTTTAAGAGGAGTCCATTTTTGCCCCAGGGGGTGTGGAATATCTGTTATCTGTATTTTCTTCTGCTCTGTAGACTGAGGTTAGAGGGATGTCTGGAGGCCCTGCACAGACCACTAGGATCCAGCTGATAGCACAGGTAACTTTACCTTATGCTTTTATCATGAAGGTTATATGACACCAACACTTTTTGATACATGTACATGTACAGAATCTCATGCAAATACAGTTGGTTTTAGTATAATATATATACCAATGGTCGGAGTATATATAAATAACTACTAGGTGAAATTATTGTACAATGTCTTGTAATCAATCAAAACAACAGCAAACACCCTTAATAGATGAATGACACCTTCTTTTATCAGCACAGCATGAAGGACATTGAAAAACATGTACATAAATGTACTTCGTTACGAGTTGGCGGCGAAAACGGGAACACCCATAAATACGAGACATCTGCCCTCCAAAAGTGCCAAACTCATGCAACATGATCAGAATTCCATGCACAGTCTGAAAAAAGTCCTTGAACAGACTGATAATTTGTTCTCTGCACCTCCACATACACACTTACACCAGTCCTCCCTTCCACCAGGGAAAAGAAAGTGCTGACTCATCAGATGACAGTCTTCCCAGGAACCAACAGAGGTCCAGAAAGATATCTGGAAATAACCTGTCCACCACTACAAGTGCAAGGTATGCAGTAACTTCTTGTGGTTTTATTGTAACAGACTCTGTGTGCCTTATAAGTGTTGAAAAAGTTTCAACTTTGAGTGTCAAAGTTCTTTCTTCACAATCACTTGTTTACAAGAGCCCATGTTTTGATGACTGTCTGTCATCTTCATCAGGGCAATTATGACTGGGACTGAAGATGCTAACGAGTCATTATTGCCCTGATGAAGATGACAGACTGTCATTGAAATATTTGCTCATGTAAACAAGTGGTTATGAATGAAGTACTTTGATATTCAGTCATTCACCAACCTGATGAAATTATGTATGGAAACATTCAATCTTTTCCCTTACTCATAGAAAATGATACCACTTTACATAATTAACGTGCAACAATAGATGTTACACCAGATATGATGATGATAATCATATAGAAACTATCATAATGGTGCACCAAACAAATGCCATATAACTTCAAAGATTAGTGCATAGCTTCTTCCTTCAATCATTAGCACATATAGTCAAACTTGTCTAAGATGATCACCCATATAGAACTTAGAAGGTATAATGTTGCATCAAGCAAAGGCCATAGAACTTCAAAGATTAGTGCATACTGTACTTTCTTCAGACCCATGACTGTGAGGAAATTGATTCAGACCCAGTGTCTGGAGGCAGTATTGTTCTAGTGGGTAGCTCCTGGGCTGCCTGATAAATCGGCCAGTCTCGCCTTGTCTGCCACACTCCAGGGTAATTACGTCTGCTCTGCCTGCCAGTATGAGAGCTCCTGCCCACCAGACACTGTTATCTGTACTCAGGGCTCGAAATACTGGGTGCATGTGCACCTTAGTGCACCCAAAATTGGAGCTGTGCACCTAATTTTCTTCTGTGGGTACACTGGTGCACCCAAATATTTTTGTTGGAATTTTTAACATTAGAAATGTATAATAGTTTACCGGATATTCTTGGTGGCTGAGTATCAAAAAGATAATAAAATCTTTGTTGTAGTACTTGTTTAAGATTTTGAAGTTAGCTCTCATTTTAGATTCAAGCTCAGAAGAGGAGCTGTAAGACCTGCAGTTAGGTTTTGTTTCATATGGTGCACCCAAAAAAAATTTTGTGCACCCAATTTTTTTAGGTTGGGTGCACCAGTGCACCTATTCCCAAAAATGAATTTCGAGCCCTGCAGTAGGAGAGCTCCTGCCCACCAGACACTGTTATCTGCACAGTTCACTCACCCATATTGGCACCTACATTACAGTCATGATGAGGTTTAAGTCTTGGTCGGGATTGCACATTAAGGCAACAGACAAAATCAAAAGTCTGGCTCGGCCTCTATAGATGTACGATACGCTGTTGCTCAAAGTTAGGTTAGCTACAGTTGTGAGGTGCATAGGGAGGCTCCAATCTCTGTTTCTATAGCCCTTGGGCCACCTGGTAGTGGTTTGTGTTCAACTCCCATACTCTTTACCAAATGCTGAATGCAGTACATCGATGTATGTTCCATTTTTAATATCCTTAAATCCATGCCTACATTACATGTAAGTGCCTTGCTTTGAAGTATCTCATCAAGCTGGTGTGTTACAAAGAAGGGCAGTTATACCGGCTATACTGATACAGATACAGATAAAAAATCGAATATATGTGAAGTTGCTGTCAGACACTATCTAGTGTGTTTTTGTAACTACAGTCAAAGTGTAATAGGGGCTGTCAGGCTTGACCTCCCTATCAATCATCTGTCAAAATCACCTCCCACCCACCATGCAACTGAAGCAATTACATGTACAATAGAGACAAACCCGCAACTCAGCCACTCAAAGCAATACTTCTGTACCCAGAAGTCTTCTGAGGGAGATAGCTAAGATCAGGGACAGACAGAGATTTAAATGTGAAGTTAATTCTTTCCTCAGCGCAAAACTCTAACAGCAGTCTGTCTAGGCAGTCCTGCTGCTAATGCTAAGCGAGAGCTGACATACATGTGGATTTTTAAAAAAAGAGGTGGTGAAAAATTCTCATCTATACCTCTTGTAGGAATGGAGGTGCTGAGAGTGCCAAGAACGGGCTGGTGGTTCCCTGTGACAGGTATGTGTTCCCCGTCACCGTAGTGGACCAGTCCAGCACAGAAAAAGTCCTCATCAAGAATGACAGTGCCACCCCTGTCTCGGTAAGTAATTAACCTAGCTATCTTGGAAGTTCATCTGTGTTGGTAGAAGTCGTCATGAAACAAGTTTGAACTGCAATTTCCAACACAAGAAATTGGACTTACCCAAATTTTCGACTGTACAACTCCAGTCATTGTACTGTACAACTCCAGTCATTGTACTGTACAACTCCAGTCTTCCTTGACAAAGACTGGAGTTGTAAGGAAAATTTGTGTCTAATTTCTTTTGTTAAAAAATGCAGTTCAAACTTGTTTCATAAGTAACCTAGTTATTGTCTTCACATCATAGCAAAGAGTACTACTAGGTAGAAATAGTTCTGTAGTAGTGGTAATGGTTTATACCTGAAATTAAAACACTTGTTGTGAAGTTGAACAGTAAGTCAATACCATTTTTTAGAAATATTAGATACAGAATTGAAATTAAAGATATACATGAAAAAGTACTATATATAGCAGAATGTTTTTCCTGTACACTGTGCAATAAAGTTTGGAGAATGTAAAATTTTGTTTCTTTTTTGCTGCAGGTAAAGTTTGTGAGTCCTCGGTCTCCCTTCAAAGTCAATCACCACAAGTACACACTGAAGTAGGTACCCACTTCCATCTACATATACTTCAACTTGATTTTAATACATGTAACTCTACATAGTTACATGTATTTACTTAGACTTATTTAGGCTCCTGTGTCTTCTGACATGCAAGGGCAGTCAGAGTGTTCTAGTAGTTAACATTACCCATAGTTAATGTTAAATTCATTTCCACACCTTTCGGTATAACTTGTGTTGTATATCTCCGTTTCTATAGCCCTTAAGCTGTAAGCTTGGGCCGCACAGTTGTGCAAGCACTACTGCAATGGGCTAGTAGTGGTGATGTATTGTATATTTGTCTAACTAGAGGTGTGAGGAATTGATGTTGTGTGTGCATGTTTGTCAGTTTTTTTGTGTTTCTGAAGTTATTCATTTTCCATATAGAAGTCTTGTTCACCATAGAGTGTTTTTTTTGTGTTTCTGAAGTTATTCATTTTCCATATAGAAGTCTTGTTCACCATAGAGTGACAGAAGGTGATCAATGACACATGTAATATTAATCAAGGCCTTATTTGCATAATTAATGAACTGCAATTAAACAAGACACACTACAAGAAACTCTAACTTGTGATATTTCATGGAGGTACGATATCCTTGAATTCTCGGTAACCCAGATATGGTTTGAGTATAAATTTCTACTGAAACAGTTCTGACAGGTTTGACATACAAACGTCCTTATAAATCCCACCCAATTCTCCATGCTGACCTATACCCAGCCAAAGCCCCTGGATAAGTGATAGCCTGGTCTTATGGATACTATTACGTCTTGTCTGAGAGGGGAACGTTGATAGCGCTACCCTCCACCTTTAACTGTCTGGAGCAGATAACGTGGCAGAGTGCACGGTCCCCGGCCGCCACGGTTCGTCCCGAAAAGGGGATTGGATATCCATCTCTCACTCAAGCATCCAGCGAGTAACTTTATCGTTTTATGGTGGATCAGAGAGAGAAGAGAGGGAGAGTCTGGGCTATCTGGTTTAATGTGCGCAGGAGCCAGACACGTTTATGTGTCTAGACGGCTCGCGCCCTTTGAGGAACTATCCCTCCCGAGCAGACCAATTACGTGGTGGACAGAGATACAACGTCTAATGATGGGATCCCTCAGTCACTGTGATAATGGGACAGAATCTTACATCCCAACTTATCAGGCCAGGGCTGGAAATACTTCTTTCTGCATAGTATTGCTTGCTCTGGTACAGGTAACATTGAAAAGACACCACTCAGAATTTAGGAAGCATGGATTACACTAAAAACTGTTCAGATTCTACATTGCCGAGTTATCAGTCCAGGGCTCCAAAACTTTCTTGTGCATACTTAAAATACTGGTGCAGGTAACATTGAAAATTAGTTGCACCAGACAGGTTTTACCTGTACTACTCAGGATTTAGGAAGTATGGATCATAGTATACTAAAAACTGTTTGAAAACTGTAGAAACCATTGCCATTATATCTTCACACTCACAGGTGGTAACAGTCAATGCAGCAAACAAAAATCCACAGACATCTACATGTGTATACAGTATTAAACTTGTACATGGACCAGTGGTGGGGAATTTGCGATTCGAAGGATGGACCAGGGCCCTGGGATGGACCTCATTGTATATATACATGTTAAAAGAATGTCTGCAATGATCATGTAATGTTCCTAAGACCCTGCTTCTTGTACTCATACTTTTTTTTTGCAATTTTGTTCTTAACAAGAAGATTATGTATAATGTCCTTGTTCCAAAAGAAGTAACTTGGTTGTTTTGAAATTCTGTACTGTCAAGGCCAGCAGACTGTGCCTGGAATTCTGATCATGTTGCATGAGTTTGGCACTTTTGGAGGGCAGATGTCTCGTATTTATGGGTGTTCCCGTTTTCGCCGCCAACTCGTAACAAAGTACATTTATGTACATGTTTTTCAATGTCCTTCATGCTGTGCTGATAAAAGTACGTGGACTAGTCCATTGTTGCTTTTTAAGGGGTCAAAATGCCTGTTTTCATTTTACTATTTCATATGAAGGTGTGTATTATACCTACACTGCTATAATTGTGACCATTTTATGATCATCCCATAGATAATTTTTCCCATGGACACAAGCATTAAGAATCCTGTCTATAGCGACCACCTGTCCACATAGACCAGATTTTTCCAGTTTCCTGAGTAAGTTAGTCTCCTTGGGAAGTTTTGACTTTACTTGTACATTGACATCCATGTCTGGCAAAGATGGCCTAACAGCCTGTACTGAATACTAATTATATACCCGTCTGGAAGACCTAGAAGAGCACTATGATCGGCATAACCCCGGCTTCATCTGTATACAATGCGGTGCAGAGCCAGACAGACATAGTCCAGATCAATACGCCGGGAAAACGGGGTAGTAATTGGGTAATAAATGGTTTGGTCTAGCCCTTGCTGTACTGCAAGTCTTCGAATATTTGCAGCGGTTTAATTTTCGCTGCACCGCTCAACTGTGAAATCAGGACACCACAAATTTGCTTTGTTGTACATTTTTATACTACAGAATTGTTTGACATTGACAAACACTACAAAAACCTTTTTTTTTTATCAATCCTACAGCAAAATTGAATCCCTGCAAAAATGAATGAATTTACAGTATCCAGCAGCTAAAGGCCCCTTAAGGGCTGAAAGGTCTGAACGTGACATGGTCATTGCCCTTGTTTCCAGACGTATGTATATTGATCATTTGATAATTGAATGAGACATTAAAGATGGCATCTTCTATACAGCTTTGTATTAAAGTTCTGGACCATCCGATCGTGACATCGGTCATTGTCCTACTTTTCGGACGTATGTCTACTGAAAGAAGAAGAGCAGACATTAATGGTTTGATAATTAAAAGAGACGTATTAAAGGTGGCATCTTCGGTAGATTATGTTCACAAACATGACTCTATAACTGGTAAGATCTCATCAGTGAAAATATCTACCATAAGGTGTCATTGTCCTACTTTTTGGACGTATGTCTATTGAAAGAAGAAGAGCAGAAATTGATGGTTTGATAATTAAAAGAGATGTATTAAAGGTGGCATCTTGCATAGATGATGTTCACAAACACGAGTCTATAACCGGTAAGATCTCATCAGTGAAAATATCTACCACAAGGTGTCATTGTCCTACTTTTTGGACGTACGTCTATTGAAAGAAGAAGAGCAGGCATTGACGGTTTGATAATTAAAAGAGACGTATTGAAGGTGGCATCTTGAATAAATTGTGTTCATAAGCACGAAGCTAAAAGTGGTAAGATCTCATCAGTGAAAATATCTACCAGAAGGTTTCATTGTCCTACTTTTCGGTCTATTGAAAGAAGAAGAGCAGACATTGATGATTATTTGATAATTAAAAGAGACGTATTAAAAGTGGCATCTTGCATAGATTGTGTGACTCTATAACCGGTAAGATCTCATCAGTGAAAATATCTACCAGAAGGTGTCATTGTCCTACATTTGTACTTTTTGGATGTACGTCTACTGAAAGAAGAAGAGCAGACATTGACGGTTTGATAATTAAAAGAGACTTATTAAAGGTGGCATCTTCGATAGATTATGTTCACACACATGACTCTATTACCGGTAAGATCTCATCAGTGAAAATATCTACCATAAGGTGTCATTGTCCTACTTTTCGGACGTACGTCTAATGAAAGAAGAAGAGCAGGCATTGACGGTTTGATAATTAAAAGAGACGTATTAAAGGTGGCATCTTGCATAGATGATGTTCACAAACACGAGTCTATAACTGGTAAGATCTCATCAGTGGAAATATCTACAAGAAGGTGTGACATTGTCCTACTTTTTGGACTATTGAAAGAAGAAGAGCAGACATTGACGGTTTGATAATTAAAAGAGACTTATTAAAGCTGGCATCTTGCATAGATGATGTTCACAAACATGACTCTATAACTGGTAAGATCTCATCAGTGAAAATATCTACCATAAGGTGTCATTGTCCTACTTTTTGGACGTACGTCTATTGAAAGAAGAAGAGCAGACATTGACGGTTTAATAATTAAAAGAGACGTATTAAAGCTGGCATCTTCGATTGATTATGTTCACAAACACGAGTCTATAACTGGTAAGATCTCATCATTGAAAATATCTACCAGAAGCTGTCATTGTCCTACTTTTCGGATGTACATCTATAATTGAAAGAAGAAGAGCAGACATTGACGGTTTGATAATTAAAAGTCAGACGTATTAAAGGTGGCATCTTCGATAGATTGTGTTCATAAACCTAAAACTGGTAAGATCTCATCAGTGGAGATATCTACCAGAAGGGGCCTCAGAGATGAGACGAGGGTGGAATAGCTTATTGAGACGGGGTGGCCCTGACCTAGTTTTTACAAGGTTACTAGCGGACATGTCATGTTCAAGTCTGCAGCGGGAAGTGAGTGATTGCCGGTGGTGATACCATTAGTAGTGAGTACGTGCCTACGGAATGGTGCGTGCCTATGGAATGCTGATGTAATGGGGGGGGGCTGTTTCAGCTTGATGTGGGGTCTCATGATCAGGGCTCGAAATTCATTTTTGGGAACAGGTGCAATTTTTAATGTTAAATAAGTAGAATGTCAGCAAAAACTATCTATGTTTCATTTCTTAAGGAAAGTACTACAATCCTGTTTTTATTATTTTTCTGACACTTAAGTTATATGTGTTAATGTTAAAAATATGCTGTATACTACTATACAGTTAATATCTTTACACACATAAACCTACAGAAAAAAACAATCCAAATTTGGGTGCACTAAAGTGCACCTGCAACCAGCATTTTGAGATCTGCATGTGTCTGAAAACATACTCAGGCCAAGGAAAATTAAATTGAATATAGTTGTGTTTCCTATTAGGCCATGTTGATTTGATTATATGGATGACATCCTCTGGGAGCCCCAAAACTGATGCGCGCGTGCGAATAAAAAAAAGTTTTGCAAAAAAAAGGTTCTTTTCATTATGAAATCTACGTGGTCATGAGGGTTGAGCAAATTGCACAGAATATGGTTAGGCGAATAATCTAGTCTTCAAGTTCATTTCTTTACAATTTCGTCTTTTTTCGTTTGCTTTTGGCATTCTACGACATTGGTATACTTTGTATTAATTTTTTTTGTAACTTATGGTATATTTTTGCTCGTTTTGCAACTGTTTTGTACGATTTACAGTATGGTTGAAAACTTTTTTTTTTTTGGAAACGGCCGAAAATTCATGCGCGCGCGGATGTCATCCATATAATCAAATCAACATGGCCTTACGTTCCTGAATAAGATACTATATAGGGTCCGTAAGTAAGGATTCACTTTTTTCTTTCGTTATTCTTAATTAATTATTTTTTACATTTTAGCCAAAGTGATCGAACAAAAACTGTTAATATAATACTGAAATGCATCACTGTAAATATGTGTTATCATGGAAGAATACACAAACTTCATTCCTTGATTTCTGGCTCTGTTTTTTGAGGGGGAAAGAATGTTAGCATAGCAGTGATCACCTTCAATACTACTTGGGGACTCAAGACACTGTAAAACGTGCAATATTGTCATCACTCACTAGGAGTCTCTGTGATAGTTAACAGAACCAGGTCCATAAATGACATCATGTTTTCTAAACTGTATCATGCAACATAAGTTAGTTTTATCAAATAGGCATGCATATGGCTTCTCATTCTTATCAGCGAATGTCTTTTAAGTGGATGACCTTGTCATTTAACCCTTCCATTTTAAGATTCTTATTAAGGAACAATCCAGTTACTTCAGAGTCAGCTTAAGATAATGTGGGTGCCTGTTTCGCATACGTGATGAGATGTGTTATGGCTACTATGTCTAGACTGGTATTCAAACCTATTATACAAGTCATGCAGCTATTGAGTCTCTTTCGTCCTTTTCGCTATTTGAATTGTGTATTTGTTACGTAACAAAATGTTTTGCTTAAGAGGATTTAGTTTGCCTGTACCTGGCTTTGGAAGCGGCTAACTGCACACCTTTACTACTTAGTGGACCAACTCTCCTGGCATGTTATCTGTCTATTTGGCAATATCTACTCTTTTATAGCTGTTTTTGAAGCCTTGTAGTGGCTAGGATTTAGTGTGAACCATACTTTTCTTTCTGCAAATTTTCAAACACATTAATGTATATAACTCTGGTTTGGAAACCAGGCTATTGAACATCGAGTTCAAATTCAAGAGGCTTGATTGTTTAGTGTGAACTTTATAGTTTTCTTTCTGCAAATTTTCAAGCACATTAATGAACTAGAGTGTAACTTTGGTCTATTAGGAAATTCCCAAAGTTCCCATTCAAGAATCTTGAATGTTTACTTAAAAGGAATTTAGTGTATTAGCTTTCTGCGAATTTTTAGACACATTAATGAGCAACATTATAACTTAGGTTTAGATTATAAGCAGTCTATAGAACCTCAAGTTCCCATTCAAGATTTAGTGTGAACTTACATGTAAGTTTGCTTTCTGCAAATTTTTAATGATCACACAATAAACACATTAATGACCTAGATTATAAGTTAGGTTTGAATACCAGTCTATAGAATATGAAGTTCTCCATTCAGGAGACTTGCGTCTCCAGACTGGGAGAGTGATGTATTGGTCTCGCTCTCCCGGCTTTGATCCGTTTGAAATTGGGGCTGGGAAGATTGTCTGTCTGCGGCCTGTATAACAGCGTGCAACGGTGTGTGTGTGGATTTTGATGCATTATTCAGTGTCGGATCCTTCTGTTTCACTCCAAAGAAACGACGGCGATTCCCTAACGAGTGGAAAGCTCCGTCAGTCGGGGTCGGCTCTGCGCTCAGCTGGGCTCCTCGTAAAGCGAGGCTGTTTCTGGGAGATAAGGGGAGGGAAGTTTGCAGCAGCAGGGCCCCGGGAAGGAGGGACAAGGGTTAACGCTGTTGTTGCCAAAACCAATAAAATTAGAACCGTGCCTGCTGTTGGGCTTGCGACACCTATGCTACCTTCCTGGCAGCAGGAGCACTTGGAGAAAAAAAAGCAATTATTGTGGATTATTCTCAGTGAGATGTCATTAAGACTTAATAGTACAGTCAAACCAGTAGTGTAGGTCCATACTAACATCATGGTTTTTGAACCGTGCCTGCTGTTGGGGAAAAAAAGCAATTATTGTGGATTATTCTTAGTGAGATGTTATTGTACACTTAGATTAGTACAGTCAAACCTGTGCCATATGTTAAGTGGCACAACTGGCTACTTAGACTTGTCAGAGTAAGCAAATGACCTTGCCCTTTTAACCCTCCTATTTTTAGGTTCTTATTAAAGAACTATCCCGTTATTTCTTAATAAGCAACCGCCTCTTCTTAAGGACCACCTGGCCAATGTGACTACTTTCAAACTTGTACAAATACACTTAAAGCTATCACCCGACTTATCGTCTAATGTTTGCTATTTCCAGACCTCATTATTTGGACTATCGCTGGGAACCAAATTTCCTGTCTTTTTCTCTCAAAATCAGGCAAACATCAATCATTGGGCACGCAAATGTCATCCGTAGAACCTACTTGCTGCATGTGGCCTTGGCATACTAAGTTCCAGGCTTCCTGAACTAGTATATATAGGTACTGACAGGTATTGGCAGACTTTACAATTTCTTTCCAAGGACCTTGCAGGGTTACCTTGGTCTTATGTAAGGCTGGTCAGGAACGATTATCCTACAGGTGTGGCAACAGACCCATCTGGCTGATACCGTGGAATAGTAAACTTTTGCGGTGGTTTAATTATTCTGCAGTCAAAGGGAAAGGTTTTCATAGTGTTTTAAATTTGTGGTTGAAATATTTCTGTAGTACAGTAGTCATACAAGGAAGGCGTATTTGTGCTAGTGTCATGAATTCATGGTGAGATGTAACCACACACACAAAAACGGAGTAAAGAGACTCTTTTTAGCACAGGTGAACCAGTCAGAATCGTCCTGAGGAAGGTGACAGACGGTCACCGAAATGTCGGCTGTGAATAAAAGACTTGGTTGTGTAAAAAAATTTCTTTACCCACCAACCTGACAAAAGTATTCACGGAAACACAAAAACTGTGAAAATAAAGCCACCGCAAAGGTTTCACGATTTACAGGAACTGTGTTTTGCTACATCTGGCCCTTACTAAGGAACCATGATGCAATGTCAGCAGGCCTTGTGTACAAAATGTATATATATGACTGGTGACACTTTAGGTCCCATGTACTTAGCTTGCTGTTCAGGACACACTGGCAACAGCACCTATAGGCACAGAAACTGGCTGCCGATCTTGGCCGGGATCTGATAAACATTGGTGTCCCACCTCAGGTCATTTTGATGCACAAAAGTGCAACACTAGAATGAATTGAGACTTTATCCCAAATTTTCGGCTGACTCCATAAACCTTGTTCACGGAATAGACACGTCTACTGTTGGAAGGTGTCGTTAGAGACAAGTGACCGTATTAGTGAGTCATGCCTGCCAGATAACTTGTGTCGTCCCCCGTCTCGGTTCAGGGTAGGTCTGTGACCTCTAATGTAGAAAATCTGCAAGTCCCAATTCATTCCAGTGTTGGAAGGAAAGCTTAGTCTTTATTTCATAATGACTTGTACCAACACAGGTGAACTTTCATCCAAATATCCTAATTATGTTTTACCAACCTGATGAAACTATTTTCTGCTACATTTGAACATTTTTTTGTCCTTGACCTGCAGGGGAAAGTACTACGTCCAGCTGCCTGTCCACTTCAAGCCGACCCAGCCGGGGAAGTACGAGTCTCTCCTGGTCATCCAGAGTGAACTGAAGGGGAGTTTTGCTGTCCAGCTTGTGGGAGAAGCCACCAGGTGACCATGCAACAGGCACAACTTTCCACTTCTTCAAGTTCGGTTCAGTTCTTGATTCTTCATGAATAGACAATACGGGTGTACAGAATGAACACGTCAAATGTTTGTATTGATTAATATACTGACATGAACTGAAGGAGAGCTTCGCTGTCCAGCTTGTGGGAGAAGCCACCAGGTGACAACACAACAGGCACAACTTCCCACAGATTCTTCAAGTATATATTACTCAAACGAGACAATTGTAGACTATTTGTAAAGAAATAGACAACTGCAGCAAACTGAAAGGGAAGATTTGCTGTCCAGCTTGTATAGGGGAACACACCAGGTGACAACGCAATGTACAGGCACAACTTCCAATATAGACTCTTCAAGTTCGGATCAGTTCTTGCTTCTTCAAAAGTAGACAATGCAGCACTGGTGTACAGAATGAGCAACTGTTTCCAGTATTTATCAATCTGACAATTATGAATGGAGAAATGTTAGTATAAAATTTTGTATTATCCTGATATTGAAATTGTTGCTGCTGCTTACTTTGAAAACATAGGAGTGCTATGACACTGTAAAAATGTTGCAAACCAAGAAGAAATAAAACCTAGTATATTAATAGTATTATCAATTAAATTTCTTGCACAAGTGTATGTCTTCGTTTAGCAGTAATTCACAGTCAAAGAGTTGTGAACTGTAATAAATTCTGACTGTCACAATAGTTTTCCCTCATAGATAACTACAGATATTGGATACACTTAGGAGACACATAAGGCTGATATTATCTTTGATTTATGTTTTATCAAATCACTATCATAACAACAATTATTGCATACAGTTAACAACAAACTCCAAAACCATTCATATATATGCATCCAGTACAAAACCACCCTAAACACAAGAAAACTAATGAAAAGTCATAGGGGGCATGTCATGATCATTTTGTTGTCCTATCAATGAAAAGTTACAAAATGTCTGAGCGGTATGGATCATTTAGTTGCCAACTCCATATCCAGCCATGTCCTTCCCCCCTGCTTAGCCCACATGGTATGTCCCGGTGTGGGGTCGCTTCAGGCCAAGTTCAGCCTCCCTCAGCTGCCAGGAAAGTGCCAGAGCCATCTGGTCGTAAAAGAAAAAGAATGGCTGCAGGGAGTATAATTGACTGTATTTGGGCGGCACAGATAAAGCGCCGGACAGCTTTACGCTGACCTCCTGGCTGAGAAAGTTCAATCCCGAAGCCCAACCCTCTGACTGGTTTCTAAAAGTCTATATAAAATACTGTCCCTACTCTTGGTTCAAGGGTATCTCCTGCTGGTGGCGATGCATGGTGATATACTATGTAGACTAAGTGGTGCAGGACAGACTATCTATAGAGAGATACGGAAGCACTGTTAGCAGCTGAAGCACACATGTCGGATGCGTACTTCTGGCGCAGAGCACATACATGTAGCTACGTACATCATTGTCATATCTCATCGTCAAGTTTGCAAGAAAGTGCCCAGATTCCTGTCCTTCTTCGTAGAATGGGTTGTGATTATGTCAGATGAGACCTTAAGCTTTGTAAAGCTTGTAAAGTAACCAACAAGTTCACAGAAAGTGGGTACATGTATCCTCCACCAGTGAGGCCTTCTTTTTATAGGGGCTATGGATAGTAGAATTAGCCATTAAAAATAAATGACTAGGAGAATTAGCCTACAGTAACTAAGGATAACATTTCCCCTAACTGCTCAAGCAAATGATTCTCGTTGGCAACTTCTATGGAAGGTTATCCTAAATTTATTGCTAGTATTTTTACAGCCAGCATTGTTTAATAGTCTGGTGTTGACTTAGGCCAACAACACATCAAATTACTTTGAAATTCTTGCTCCATTGAATGGGCTGTTCCATATATGTATAAGATATGAAGTCAGTTATAAACTTATGCTAGAGGAGGGGAAAAACTTTCTAAAGCTGTCCTATACAACTCTAAAAGACAACTGACAACTTGCAGTTTATATACAGAATATAACAAATGTGGTATGATATCTGATTGCATTACGCCCCAGGCTGACATAACATACAGGTGTTGGAGCCTTGTTTCATACATGTACCTCCCTACAAATATCTACATACGTACCCTCCAAGCAGAGGTTAGTCTTTTTTTAAGCGTTTTTAGGTGTTTAGTGGGGCTCCCTAATTTGTCAGCATTTCTTTGGTAATAAAAATAATTTGCTAGTAAGTAATAGTGGAATGACAAAATAATACTTTCCAAGCAGAGGTTAGAATTTTTTAAAGCCATTTTTAGGCATTTAGCGGGGCTCTCTAATTTGTCAGCTTATGTTTTGTATGCTGGCCAGTAATAATGGAATGACAAAATGCCTAAAAACGTCCGTAACAAGCCTAACGTCTGCTTGGAGAGCTAACCGGTACAGAGGCTAGGGGACAGAGTTCTGTCGTTGGTCTAAATTAGTTCCAGGCTGGGTGTAAGAAGGTCATGGTCAAGTGGAACACCATGTGCCTCCTAATCCGCTGTAACTGTCAGTGCCCATTATTTATACAGTTAGTGTGTCATCTGGAATGGGAGGCCTAACGGCCGAACATGCTGGGCTCAAAACTAGGCTGCCAAAACCACTTCGCAACACTGTAGATATATATAACACAGCTTATTAGGGCTTGATCGATACACAGGGCTAAAAATTCGGTTTTGGCAATATGTGCACTGATGCATCTTACTTGAAAATCTAGGCAAAAATACAGAAAAGCAATGGGGTGTACAATATTGTAAATGTCAACAAAATCTGGTTAATACAACAAATGGTTATTTAATCATTTTTGACACTTGAATATCAATATGCTCTACGTATACTAGACTAAGTACTTGTATACAATAGTATCTAGGTGCACCCAAAGTTAAAAATGAGGTAGACAGCACCAATTTTAGGTGCACAAAAGTGCATATTATGCACCCAGTAGTATTTCCAGCCCATGCAGTAACAGAAGATGTAGATATTCCACTATACTGCACAAATTGTTGTAATATTTCTTCCACTCAGAAAAGTGGCCAGGAAAATCGACCCAAATCTTCCCCAAGGTTCCAGCCCTGCCTGAGAGACCTTGACTGGGCTGATTGGCGAGTTTTGGATGTTCGCTTTGGCGCTGTCTGATTTGGAACCGAGACAGCTTGTCGATAGAAGGGAGTAGTGTCAATTGTTAAAGGTAGACTCCAACTAGCCTGGTGTTCTTCCAAAGTTACTGGCTGTCACAGTGTGTCAGGGTGTATACATGTGGGATGAAGCTTCTGGATCTTTAGTGGTCAACTCAACTGTCCAACTTTAACCCTCAGCTGGCTAAGGCAGCCATTTCGGCACCAAATTTATAGTGGCTGTGGGGTTAGGCAGCAGAGAGAGGGTTGAAACCTTTGATTGATACAGAAAAAATGACATTGCTACCTTGTGAATAAAAAGCATTCTTGCTGTTTATTCAAAGGAGATGGAATTGAAAAATATCACCTTGCCAAGATTATACCACAAGTTAAAAAGGCACCAAGAACTAAAGTCTTGCTTCTACTTCAAAATGACTCAATCCAACTTAAAAATAGACTAGCCCCATTGTCTTGCCCACATCAGTCAAAACTTGTACAAATGTACATGTAAAATAAAAATGTAAAAAAAATCCATAATTTGAACAAGGCTCATCTGCTCACTCATTGGTTGAACCTCTAACTTTCATTGACAGCCAAGTATTTTATGGAACCTCAGATAGTCATTTCTGACAATGTAAGACAAAAATACATTGACTATATAATCCCAAGATTTGAGCAAAACTCATCTGCTCTCTCATTGGTGGAACCTCTAACTCTGATTGACAGCCAAGTATTGTGCAGAACCGCAGACTGACACTTCTGACAATTTTTACAATGTAAGACAAAAATAACCTTGAATTTTGACAGCCAAATATTGTGTATACAATACATGGAACCCCATTTCATTTCAATGTAAAACAAAAATACATCTGCTCTCTCATTGGTTGAGCCTCCAACTTTGATTGACAGGCGAGTATTGTGTGTTACCCCAGACTGACAGTTCTGACAATGTAAGACAAAAATACATTGACTATATAATCCCAAGATTTGAACAAAGCTCATCTGCTGTCTCATTGGTTGAACATGTAACTTAAATTTGATTGACAGCCAAGTATTGTCTAGAACCCCAGACTGACAGTTTTGACAATGTAAGATGAAAATAGCCCCAAACTTTGACAGCCAAATATTGTGTATACAATACATAGAACCCCATTTCATTTCAATGTAAAGCAAAAATACATTGTACGAAAGCCTAAAGTTTAACAGAATGGCTCATCTGCTCTCATTGGTTGAACCTCCACCTTTGATTGACAGCCGAGTATTTTGTGGAACCCCAGACTGACAGTTCTGACAACGTAAGACAAAAATTCATTGACTATATAATCCAAAATTTGAACAAAGCTCATCTGCTCTCTCATTGGTTGAACCTATAACTTTAATAGACAGCCAAGTATTGTGTGGAACCCCAGATTGTCATTTTGACAATGTAAGACAAAAATACATTGACTATATAATCCAAAATTTGAACAAAGCTCATCTGCTCTCTCATTGGTTGAACCTATAACTTTGATAGACAGCCAAAAATTTTATGGAAGCTCAGATTGTCATTTCTGACTATGAATGTGAGGCAAAAATACATGAACAAAATCCAAAATTCAAATATCTGCTCTCTCATTGGTTGAGCCTGTAACTTTGATTGACAGGCGAGTATTGTGTGGAACCCCAGATTGTCATTTCTGACAATGTAAGACAAAAATAACCTTGAATTTTGACAACCAAATATTGTGTATACATAGAACCCCATTTCATTGACATTTCTGACAATGTAAAGCAAAATTACATTGTACGAAGTCCTAAAGTTTAACAGACTGGCTCATCTACTCTCTCATTGGCTGAACCTCTAACTTTAATTGACAGACAACTATTTTGTGGTACCCCAGACTGACAGTTCTGACAATGTAAGACAAAATTTGAACAAAGCTCATCTGCTCTCTCGTTGGTTGAACTTATAAACTTTGATAGACAGCCAAAATTTTTATGGAACCTCAGATTCAAATATCTGCTCTCTCATTGGTTGAGCCTCCAACTTTGATTGACAGGCGGGTATTGTGTGTTACCCCCGACTGACAGTTCTGACAAAGTAAGACAAAAATACATTGACTATATGATCCAAAATTTGAACAAAGCTCATCTGCTCTCTCATTGGTTGAACTTATAAACTTTGATAGACAGCCAAAAATTTTATGGAACCTCAGATTCAAATATCTGCTCTCTCATTGGTTGATCTTCTAACTTTGATTGACAGGCGAGTATAGTGTGTTACCCCAGACTGACAGTTCTGACAAGCCTTAGTACCCGCCATCTGGAATCTTTAGTGTTGTGGCCTCCGAGGGCAGACCAGACTTCCCCAGCGTGCGCAATTTGTGGTGGCGCAGCCTTGATCCCCGAGATCACACGGAATTGCAAAAATCCACTTCAATTTGTCGCCGGAATATTTGTGGCCTCCCCACACAATGTGACAGATGTTTGGTTTCTGTCGTAAACTTCGAAAGTCACTCCAGGCAAATGTTTTGGCGCGTTGTATGTGATATGTGGATGTTTCTGGAATTCCTTGCTTGATTTTTTAGGCGATTGACTTACCTGTAGTTACTCTGTAAATTGTAAAGGAAGTTATGGCCAATTACTGGAATACGTAAGCTTCTTAGCCTGAATTATTGTGAAATAATTACTGCTATTGAAGCCTACACTTCACAAGTTTAACTTCATCATCTTTGTTCGTAAAAAAAAAGGGTGCCAGGCTCTGGCATCGTAAGTCCCATATTGGAGAAGTCCTGGAATGTAACCCCAGAATTTACATCATTTGCAAACCAGACATGTTTGAAGCCCCCAACGTAACAGATGGATTAGCTCATGACTCCGAGAATCAATAACATTTCTACAACGCACTTCTCTGGCTTTGTCGCAACTTCTGACCCAAGTGTATTAGGTTAACTGTGCAATAGTCAAGGATTATTAAGAGATGAAAACAAATCCTGCTTTTTTTCCTTCCTTCAGAGGAACTAGACAAAGTGATGACTTGCAAGCTAAGATGTTTGTCAGCCTCTGAGAGCCGGAGCTACGTGCTGGCTCAGCAAAATGCCGACTGTTCCAGACAGACTTTAATTAGGAAACAAATCATGTTCTGTCTGGCAGGCCCATTTGGTGGTTGATAAGTGCAAGTATTTGCGGCATGTGCTGTCGTTAGTACATTTAGACTGTGGTTTACGTGAGTGTCCTCCACAAAAGTACTAGAAGCATGTTCAGTTTAGACTGTCGCGAGAGAGATATCATCTTGTCCCATCTTGCGCACGCACGCGATGCTTATGCAGAAGTGCCGATAACACCAAAGCTATCATCTTTTAAAAAAAAATCTTCACTGTAAAGCTGAAAAAAATTGCAGAAGGGGTTTTGCAAAAGCCAGTTTCAATACACGCTGTCAAGAAAGTTGCATATCAAAAACAGCTACAGATATTAATGTCAGCCACGTCCACAACATGCTTACGTACAATGTCATATTGATGGGAGCAGGACTTAGAAACTGGGACGCCTGGCCAATAAAGGTACAACACACAAGACGCCGTAAGGCTGTGCAACGTTACAGTAAATGATCGAGATGGGAGACTGAAAAAAAAGGCTTTCAAGACATTCCGTTGAATCAGATATTACATGCAAACTACTTTATGCTTCAGCATTCTTACTCCAAAATCTTCAGCAGCATCTATGTATTCTTCAGAGAATTTTCCCTCTCACTGCACTTTGTATTATCAAATTGTAGGACTGAACATGCATGTCAAATAAATGTTTGAAATAATGACCAGAATATATATTAGTTCTCTCTGTAATCAGTAAAGAGTAATATCAGAGGCAGAGAAAATGGCATCATTCAGTCCCCCAGGGATTCCCGCCCTAGAGTACAAAAAAAAAAGACTCCAGTCAAATGTACAGAAAGTGATCAATTATAGATATTTAGATAAAAACTATTGTGAGCATCCATGCACATTTTTTTTGGCCAGAGAAAATGTCAGAGGCACAGAAAATTGCGTCATTCAGTCCCCAGAGTAAAAAAAAAGTGTGTCCAGCCAGCACCCATAAGTTGTAGTTCTCTCAGAGCATTTAATATGTCCAGAAAAAATTTAAGAGGCACAGAAAATTGCATTATTCAGTCTCCCAGAATTTAAAAAAAAGTTATCCAGATCGAGAAAAGTGTCAGAGGCACAGAAAATTGCGTCATTCAGCCCCGAGAGTAAAAGTGTGTCCAGTCTGTATGGGCATTGTGCAGCACTTTGCCAGGAATAGATCCTCTTCTGTCTACCGAACACTAGCCAGGTTAACACCACCGACTAGAATCTGCCAGAGAGAAGGTCTGCCAGCTGAGCGCAGGCCGGCCTGGTCCGTCCCGACTTGGGGACAGCCCAAGGAATGTGACACCGGCAGAACGGGTCAGCCAAGCTTGTCGCTGTGTTTTCATAACATGGAAATGGCAGGCATCTGTCTGCTGTAGAACCCAGCAGTCAGGCTGAGAGTTGAGTCGAGTGGAGGCTGCATGGTAGTCATCACTGATGTACACTTCCACAACATCACACATGCACACGTGTACAGACATGCGCACGCACGTGTGTGCACACACACAGGCACAGAGAGAGACAGAGAGAGAGAGAGAGAGACGGACACACACACACACACACACACACACACACACACACACACACACACACACACACACACACACACACACACACACACACACACAGACAGGCAGATTTTGGGAGATAGGTATGAATTGTACGTACATGTACATGTCTTAAAAGTGTCTTTACCTGCACTGGATTTTGTTGACATTTAATGCTTTAATACACAACTTTCAGCAGGTTACAGTGTATTAAATGATTGTATGGAAGACCATACACTTGTTGCAAGCGCCAGTTTTTGATAACTTTAATGTGTCATAGTTTTGTAAAGACCAAAGTCCACACTAGAAATAAGTGTATTATTTGGTGGTGGTTGCACCTGAAGATTCTTTACCATCCCTGTTATTTAGAGTGAAGTGTGCACACTATATATGAACAAGTTACATATTATAGAACATGTAAATTATAGAATGCAAAGCTATACAAGGACTAATACAATGCAATTTCATAGGGTTGAGTTTCAATGTCTATAGTCAGTACGTTGTTGAGGCCCATGACAAATTCTTATTAGTTGAGTGAAATCTATAATATTATGTACAAGTGCCTGATTTCTTTAGTGCTGTATCTATAATAAGTGTTAGATTGCCTGGAGAAGGAAATAAAAGTTTGTATTTTTACAGATATTTTGCATTTTTTTCATGTTGTGTGTTATGTCTTGTGCACATCTTAGTTGACATTAAGTTTGATGTTGTTGAATAAAGCCCTTTCTTCTTCCATTAGTAATGAAAAACATAAATTCATAAACTGCCAGATTTAAATGTGAAAACATTACTGTTGAAAAAAACATGTTGACACCATCCTAGGTGCATGTGCTTTAGGAGATGTTGTTGGTTTAAATGAACTAGGAGGGAATTTGTCAGATCATGGCTGATTCAAATGCGAATTTCGAAGCGGTTGATTACTGCGCCTGCGTAAAACCCTGATTATTCACGGTTTTCGTTGGATGTTTGGTGAATCTGAATTTTGCCTGTTGTAGACGACATCTTTTTCAACATAACATTTGGAAACTACAGATGGAATGTTAACCTTATGTGTGTGAATATGACCTTATATGAGACTTCTGCCGAAGTGCTATGCACACTACATGTACATTACAGGTTTCATGCAGGTGCTGACATGCTGGATGGGGTTATTCTGTAGCACCTCACTTCAACAGCTCCACATAGCAACTGTGCAGGAGGTCTTTGACCTCACCATCTCTGCTCCTTTCTGTGGACAGTATGCTCCAAATGGCATCCTTAACCTGCTTTACCATTTAGCCACGAGCTTAACCAAGCTTAACCCAGAGCACAGAGGTCTTTGGTTCGAATCCTAACCAATCTTGTGCCCTTGGGGAATGCACTTTACATGACTTTCTTCACCCAGGTGTAAAATGGGTACCTGACTTCGGTTGGGGAGGTAAAAGGCAGTGGAAGGAGAGGGATGGGCTCCGCCTTATATTGTACCCTAGACACTGAGCCCTAGTAACAGCCTTTTAACTACGTCTGGGACAGTGTGTTTGAGTGGTCTCTAGTGCAGCACCCCACAGGTATGCGCAGTTTAGATATGCAGGAGTGAATTGCACTTGAGCATTGCATTTCGAGATCTCTTTTGACATTTTTTTCTGGGTGGTATTCGACCTAATAGAATTAGGTTAGTTGTAGTACATTTGCAGTAAGAAGAAATTCAAATCACAGTAAGTCAGATTCCATATAATATTTATTATCTTTTACAATACACAAAGAGGCAGTCATGGCATTGTACTGCTGCAGTAACTTGTGGCAAAAGTAAATGCACTTACAGGAGTGTAAGAATACTAAGATTACAACATTCTGGATAGAATTGTCCAGCAATGATAACCTGTCTTACTTCTGCTCTGTTCTACCTCCACTCTGGCTTGAATGAGGTAGAACAGAGCAGGACCAGGCATATAATCTCTAAGCAGATCATACAGTGGCAAGGCAGTATGGATACTGCAAGGCATACTGCCTTGCCTCAGTATGATCTGCTTGCTTGGAGATTTCTGGTATAGCGTTAATGGAATCCAGGCTACAAGTACGAAATTTTACATGGAACTACAATGGCTTCCCCGATGCACAGGACAGAAACACCTGCGAGCACACACGTACAATACTTCTTCAGCTCCCACACAAGGTCAAATAGCAGCATGTTTGGAGTACAATTTTGGCGATAGACAAAACATGTATTATAGAGTTAGACCAAGGAGGTTTAAACCTCCTTGAGTAGACACGAGATCGACAACTTACAATTGTGTCAAGGGCACTTGGTGAAATCTCAATAAGCGGCAACTGGATTTCAGAAGACATGAACAACAATGTCTTACATGACAAAACTGGTGTGGCCTGAGCAATTTCTTGATTACAAAGATATGGACCACATTTGCTCAATGCTAAGCTGGCTCATTCAACGTATCCATGCTCTATTTAAAACAAGTACATGTAGAGATAGTTTTGCAACCATGTGGCATTAGTTTTGTTGCTCAACCATCACATACATGTACTACATGTGCTTCTATTAAAACAATGAGTCAGACACCTCTTATTTTTCAACAGTTACTGCAGATATTCATTCAGAAGTCATTTGTGGCTTTTAATGTAAAAGGAATACTGGTAATTTCTTCCCTAAATTTTCTACTACAATTTCGTATTATTACACACATTACGACTGTAGTGATCTACATGTAGATTAGTTTTAATACATCATTCCATTATTTTCTTCACAAAACTTGAATATTATATGATCACAGATATACAAAATAGAATTCAAAGCTGAGACAACAGTGGATAGCAGCAAAGATGTGGAACACTTTCCAGAATGTTCAACCATCGACATATTGTGAGTATGGCATTGCTATAGTTACCAGTATCCAGTATATTGAATTGCTACCCAAATGGCTACATCAGTATGCTGAATACATAGGCCAGAAAACTACCTACAACACCTAAGAACTTGTGTTTTTTGTCTACACTAAAAGGTTAAGTGCACAGCACAGGTTCATCTATATTCTAAACTAGGCTTTTTTCACATCTTCCTCAAACTGAGTTGAAGACACCAGTTTTTTAAATACCCAGATAAACCACCAATCACTCTGACTCTTTTCAGTTTGTCTTCCCTGTATATTTGTTTGTCCTTTTTCTCTCACTTTCCCTTTGTGGCTTGTAGTAGTACACCCAGCGCGATTCTTCTCCGGGAGTGGACAGTCCAGAGTTAGTCGTTTTTAATCCACACCTTCGTTCGGCCACTTCAGCTGGTGGACCAGGCCTCCCTTCCCCCGCGCGTATCCTCCGTACCTCTCCAGGTTGTACAGTTTGTCGCCCGACCGCCAGCCGATGTAGCCGGCCGAGGAGCGGGGTAAGGGCGGAGACTTGTCCACCTTGATGTACTTCTCGATGGGGGTGATAGGGGGCAGGCGTAACGTTTCTGGCATCTCCAGTTTGGGACCGTCCCGAGGCCGAATTTCGTCCTTCACCAGCTGGAAAACACAGAAGGCGTACATCGTCAAAACTGCCCAAGAAGACCACTCAGAAATACCAGCTCAGAAAAGAACAAGAAATAGTCATGCCTTCAACCAGAGTTTTCAACCAAGGATTGAGGTGTTTAAAAACTCATTCATTCCTAGAACTATCTGTCTAACTAACTTCCTGTCACCGAGTACAGTAGAAGCATTATCATTATAATTAGATAGCTTTAAACAATGTTTAGAGTTAGATGTTCAAGGGTTAGCTGCCGCCGCGCCGTATGCCTGCGAAGCTGGTGTGTTACGCCAAAGGGCGATTATCCCGGCGATACCAATACATGTACAGATAACTCAGGTGACAGAGAAAGTCTGGTCTACAGGTGCACAGGTCGTCACTATATACAGGATTGTGTCAATGGGGAAAAATTATCTAATGGACTACCAAAAAGTAGTCACCAAAGTGTTCCTTATGTACAGGTAGTCACTTGTAGAGGTTTGAGTGTACTTTGAATGCATCTACTTTATATGCAAGGACTTAATTAACTTCTACTAGACATATTGATAATAGGCAATATAGATTCTTTATTGATGCAACAAAAAGGACAGGGACTTAACGTCATATTTAAGCAGTTGACAAGGAAGCCAAGAAGGTGGCTAAAACTTGAAACCTGCCTTAACCTATAAGTATATGTATAGTCAACTTATATATATATAAGTATATATAACTATATTATAAGTATATATAGTCAACAGATGCTATCTAATGCAATTTAACTCCTTCTTTTTTTTCTTATTCAATTGTCCTTGTTTATTTGTAGATTCGAAACTCGATGCAATTACAGACGCCACCCACAGAATCAAGCTATTTTGGCCCGAAACTAATTTCTCATCGGAGTAACGAGATGCGGCTGAAAGTCATCCAAAAAAATGTTTCCTCATTATCACCAATGTCAAGTAGGATAGAAACGGTCGGAATACTGATCAGACTTCCCCCCCTCCTCTCTAATTTCCCCCCGCTGTGTTGACTGAAGACATTAGGCACCGTGCTGTTTGTTATGCTCAATGTGTCTCCGCAGCTCCCAGTGTTGGCAAGTTTCCTGAGACCGGCAACTTTCCTGGGAATTGGTAGATATGTAACGTTATCGGCAGGCGTTCTCTTTTGTGGCAAGTCGAGGAACAATTTTGGCACGCGAAGTCTTCCATTTCTGTCACATACAGGCACAATACTGTGATAGATAAGTCAGACAATTAAATTTAGTTACTCTTGTTTTTTGCTCCACAGGAGTTACTGGGTAACTTGAAGAAAATAGATATCCATGCTTTGGGTACTTAATTTTGAAGTGAAGATACAATTTTGGTAGACTTAATCTTACATTTCTGTCACATACAGGCACAATACTGTAATAGATGAGTCAGACAATTAAATTTAGTTACTCTTGTTTTTTGCTCCACAGGAGTTACTGGGTAACTTGAAGAAAATAGATATTCATGCTTGGGGTACTTAATTTGTAAGTAAAGATACAGTTTTTGCACACTTAATCATCAAATCTGTCACATATAGGCACAGTCTTTCAACACATAACTCAGAAAATTCAATTCCTTTTTTTAAAATTAAATCTAGGAATAGTGGATTAATTTGGAGTAGACAGGTACATACGTAACAGTGCTGTGTGTCAGACACTAGTTAATTTGTGGAGATAACCAGTTTTGCTACACCACATCTTACATTTCTGTCACACACACGAGAAGTCCCTTAATCCGCGGGTCAGACAATCGAATTAGCTGTTTTCCTTTCCGGGGATACGGTGGGAAGCCCCCTGATACATTTGTGAATTTGAACGCGAGTTTGAGTTTTACACAGTTCAGAGCTCTTCTTAGAGTGTATTGATTTTATTGAGAAGAACATCTTTGGTTATAACAATTGTAGGAGACGCAGAAATATACTGGCAAAGCCACAACTATGGCTGATCACAACCTAAAATTTAACATTTCTGCCCAAACGTCCAACAAAATATGAATTCTGAAATCTATAACACATTCACTTCAAATATTTTCAGAACTAATAAGCCCAGCTTTAATACTAGCCTTTTGTATGTTTTGAAACATGCCTCCTAGAACCTAGTACTCACATCAGAATGAAGTGTCTTCATTGAAATAAAGATCAAATAGAGATATGTATGGTTCTCAAGTGGGTATAGCCACCTAGTGATGATTACAGGTACTACAGTTTAACAATGAAGCTATTATGTCATTGGACTCATTGTCACTTTAGTTACATAGAAAAAAGGTAGAATTTGTTTGACAACATCTAAAGAACATTGATGTCCTTTTCAACATTTGGTGGATGGGTATTAATATAGTCACACCATTTTCAATTGTTTTATAAATTTGAAAACTTGTAATCATCTTGTGTGAAGAAAAGCAAAGTTCATATCAAAGGTTCTAGAAATCTATCTATATCGGAAGAGTAAGTATGAGAAATGCTTTATTGACAGAACAGAAAGTAGCCTTTCATCACGGTTCCTCTAATAAACCAATCACTTTACTCATCTCCCTTCAGAGGAAACTTATGGTCATATTGTTCTATTGAGGTGACTTGGACATACTTTAGGACTAGTATCTACTCTATTAATATATAGATTTTATTGTACATGTCAAAGATAGTAAATTCATTTTTTTCTGCAAGGCTAATTTGTTCTGTGTTTCCTCCAATACACCAGACACTTCTTTTTCCAGGGTACCCAGCTAAACAGCATGTAACATATTGGTGACATCCTACTTTATCTTAAGTTGTGGTTTCTGAATTTTTTTCTGAGCACCTAAATGTTTAGGTTAGGTACACCATTCCCAAATCGAGCCCTGTCTATAGCACATCTCTCTTTAGAGAAGCTAGGCTACTCAGCCCAATAGCATTACAAGTTGCTGACAACTGACATTCTATTATCTTATCTTGTGGTTGCTGAATTTTTTTTCTGTGCACCTAAGTGTTTAGGTTAGGTACACCAGTATACCTATTCCCAAATCCAGCCTGTCTATAGCACATCTCTCTTTAGAGAAGCTAGGCTACTCAGCCCAATACTATAGCATTACAAGTTGCTAAGAACTGACATTCTATTTGTCTTTATCTTATGTTGTGGTTGCTGAATTCTTTTCTGAGCACCTAAATGTTTAGGTTAGGTACACCATTCCCAAATGGAGCCCTGTCTGTAGGACATCTCTCTTTAGAGAAGCTAGGCTACTCAGCCCAATAGCATTACAAGTAGCTGACAACTGATATTCTACTTTATCTTGTGGTTGCTGAATTTTTTTCTGTGCATCCAAGTGTTTAGGTTAGGTACACCAGTATACCTATTCCCAAATCAAGCCCTGTCTATAGGACATCTCTCGTTAGAGAAGCCAGACTACCCAGCCACAATAGCATTACAGTTGCTGACAACTGGCATTCTACTTTATCATAAGTTGTGGTTTCTGAATTTTTTTCTGGGGACTTCAATGTTTAGGTTAGGTACACCAGTATACCTATTATACACCAGTACTACAGCTAGATCTCTCTTTGGAGAAAGCTAGGCTACCCAGCCCAATAACATTACAAGTAGCTGACAACTGAAAACTTTTATCTTATGTTGTGGTTTCTGAATTTTTTTCTGAGCACCTAAATGTTTAGGTTAGGTACACCAGTATACCTAATCCCAAATCTGTCTATAGGACATCTCTCTTTAGAGAAGCTAGGCTCCTCAGCCCAATAAGATTACAAGTAGCTAACAACTGATATTCTACTTTATCTTATGTTGTGGTTTCTGAATTTTTTTCTGAGCACCTAAATGTTAAGGTTAGGTACACCAGTATACCTATATTCCCAAATCAAGCCCTGTCTATAGGACATCTCTCTTTAGAGAAGCTAGGCTCCTTAGCCCAATAGCATTACAAGTTGCTGACAACTGACATTCTATTATCTTATGTTGTGGTTTCTGAATTTTTTTCTGAGCACCTAAATGTTTAGGTTAGGTACACCATTCCCAATCGAGCCCTGTCTATAGCACATCTCTCTTTAGAGAAGCTACTCTACTCAACCCAATAGCATTACAATTAATTTGCTGACAACTGACATACTTCTATCTTATGTTGTGGTTTCTGAATTTTTTTCTGCGCACCTAAATGTTTAGGTTAGGTACACCATTCCCAAATCGAGCCCTGTCTATAGCACATCTCTCTTAAGAGAAGCCAGACTACCCTGCCACAAGCCTGGCTCTCCCCACAGTCTGCTCCGTCCTAACCACAACTATTTCTGGCACCGCAGCTATTTTGGAAACACAGACATAACAGATCCATGTTTGGGAGCTTGTGTAGAAGATGGAGACTAATTGAATCGATGCAGTGAAAAGACGGAAACAAACGCGATTACGCTTTTTCCCAACCGCTTTACCCACCGGTTCTTAACAAGAGAACAAGGCGCGCCGCACTTAGACGGTCGGACAAAGGGGAGCACGGAAGCGATGTTATGGAAATATTAACAAGGTGAGAGACGACATTTTCTCGGGGACCTTTATGGAGCTTCCAGGAGGTGGAAAATAAAGGACCCACGCAGAGTCCTGCCAATTTGGGGAGGAGACGTGTCCCACCTGGGCTGGCTCTGGCCTGACCCGTAAAACAAGTGGTGTGCGTCGGCTGATATGATAAATCTGTTGGTCTGTAATCCCCCGCAGACACAACAAGACTTGCAGTTTTCGGGACAGGAATGTGTAACAATACACAACAGGACACAGGAGTCAAAGCAAGCGCGCCGCCCGAACAATGGAAGGTCTCGGAGATAATACTGTCAGGGCTCGAAATCCCAACTGCATACTAGGCGGGTTGGTGCAGGTAAAATTGAAGCTGTGCAGGTATTTCTGATGTCTACCTGCACCTAACCTGCACTGGTCCATGTACTGGGTTTATACACAACAGTGGGTATATGACTGTGTATTTTCAATAACTGTATTGGCTGTTAAACTATGAAGCATAAAATAAATACTAGTAACAGCAATGGTTTTTAACAATTCTTAGTACCGGTAGGATCCATTCTTCCAAATTTCTGGGAGGTACAGGTAAAATTTGTCTGGTGCATGCTATTTTCAAAGTACCAGTACTTGCACCGGTGCAGGTATGCAGAAAAGTGGATCTCAAACCCTGACTGCAAATGTTCAGCAGCAAATGGACTTGAACCAGTGTAAACCCTCAACATCAACACACTGCCTCATCCCTGAGAGGAGACTAGATGAGAGACAAGAGGAGGAAGGAGACATTCTGTGTTTACTTGTTCGCCATCACTGCCACTGTTAGGCTTTCAACATCCTCATAATACTCTGTGTCGATGTCAGTCATCTGAAAGGGTGACCGCACATTTGAGCCCTGTCTTAGTGGTAGTAGCCTGAAAATCCAGCCTTCTAAGCTATAGCTCCACTCGAGAAAATTCCTCCCTGCAGTCCTGCTAACAAGGCTGGATTTCAGGCAGCTGCCACAAAGACAGGGCTCAAATATGCGGTCTATTGTGGTTAAAGGGCTCTGTCTGAAGAAATGTTTGGTATTCAAATTGTACCACGCGTCAAACATGTATGTGGCTGTGACAGCTGTTAAGTTTCATAATTTCACTCTTTGGAACCAGTGAAAGTGTTATGCTTTATCATACTAGTAATGTTCTTAGCTCTGATTGGTAGACTGAACAGGTCCATTGCATTGTGGGTAGGTGGACCATATGCGTGACAAATTTGTACCTTAGGCATACCACTAAAATCTAGATGTTGCTTTGCCTATACATGTACATTGTAACCTTGGTCCCGAGCATTAAAATAGTGCTGAGCTTAAACAGCTACAGTCTAGTACTGCTTGTCAGTTGCACATAAAAGTATTGAGACTGAACAGATGTGGTGGTATAATAAAACCTTGACCGACAACGAAGAGATATCTTCAATATGCGTGACAGACCTTGGCATTATGCTATAGTTAGCAACTGCCAAAGTTCCAAAATCAACAGTTAGTTAAAGCGTTTGGGATTAATGGTTATCATATATAGCCTTGAGCACTTTCTTTTTATCAGACAGCTGTGTTTCGTTTCAACTAGATGTATGTGCCACCGAGTGTCATATATATGAAGGTCAAACACAAACCTTATAATTAGACAAGAGGCTTCGGGCACTGGGCATACCAAAGGCGATGTTTACAACATCAGTTAGCAACGGCATTGTAAATCGATTGATTACGGCGCAGTATGTTCTTATTTAAAGGCTTTTAAAATTCTCAGGCGCAAACACGTATAGATAATACATGTACTGTAAAAAAAAAAGAGAGAAAATATTTCCAGTCACCGTCTTCCTGTGGTTATCCGAAGATCCTTTTCCATGGGACTACTATATGCAAATGAGGCAGCATACAATTAACCTTCTAGCTGCCACTGAAACCCATGACCAACATGAAGTTGATGCAAACTACTAGCCTCCTGTTCAGCCGATTCTGAGCGGGTATGGGTTTTGATACTGCTGTTAACGCGATGTTTTGCCAGAGAACGTTACACCCCGCAAGAGAGGGTTATACTCGCGACATAACCTTCTCCGGCAGTGTAACGTTTCCTGGCAAAACATTGCATTTCCCGCAATACCAAAAATCACACCCGCTCGGAAGCCTACACAGGAGACTAGCAAAAGACTATCTCAGTTGGGAGAAGGTTAAAGTTTTATAAGGTTGAGTCATAAAAGAAAAGACAAATCCTCGAACTGGTGGGACTGAATAGGGCTGGCTGTTCTGACTGGTTTCGACCCTGTGCCGCTAGTAGCTGAAGCAAATGAAGTCCAGGCTGCCTTGGACTTTGTATTAAAAAGGAAGGGCTGTGCAGACATAGTTTTACAAAAAAGGGGGTGTTGGCGAATAAAAAAATTCCAGATATGGTAAGACAGAAAATTAACAATACCATACACTGCCATTACTTTAAAACAATTGTAAAATTCGAACAGTTCTAATTAAAATAATTTTGTGTCGACAAGAATGGTGTAAAAAAAATCTGCAATTTCTGTAAACCCGCATGTATATTTGTGGTCCAGTCCTACTGCCTGGTTCTATTTCACTTTTTGAGGTCTGGTTTTCATTATGATGGAGGTCAGATGTCAACAGCCCTGGCTGGGCCATACATGTGCTGCTCTTACCTCTGACTGACTCAGCTGAAGTTTGGGGCAGTTTGTTGGAGAAACTGAGAACTCCAAGAGGTATGAAAGGATGCTTTAATGGTTTACTAGCAGTTGGTAGGTCTTAGAACAAGTACCTTAGTTTGGGGACAGATTTGAAGTTTAGAATAACCAGTGGTGATGATGATGATGATGGAATACTTATTTTATAAGATGCTGTAATGGTACAAGCTACTGTGCTGCCTGGCAGCACTTGGAGCAAGGGGCCAGCATACATTGGACTGATTGGTCATATAGGCAGGTAGGCAATATCTTCAAGCAGAGGTTGGGATAGAAGATTGTACCGTAATGCTAAATCTGGCAGCCACAATATCTGTTGGGTTCAAAATGTTACAGTCTCCCAACCCAACATGTGAGGGTCTGAATGGGGGAATCCTGGCTACTACAAGCTGGCCTCCTACGATTATTGGTGAAGTAAAATTACTCACTACAGCTCACAGAAAAAGGCATTCAGACCCAACATCAGGTGGGCTGAAGGACTGACAGAACTCCCAACATCTGCTTGGAGATTATGTTGGCACGTTTCTTTTAGTAGTTGCAAGACAGTATCAAATTGGCAAGACGGTATAATTGGCAAAGAGGTATCCAATATAGATACCACCCCCCCAAAAAAAGCCGGCGAAAAAAATACCAGTACAAAAACCAAGGTCCGGTAAAAGCATGCCTACAAGTAAAGACACGGCAACAAATAAGCCAAAACCTAAACGTCTGCTTGGACTGTAGCTGTTCATTACAAATACACATGTATGTGCTAACAAAGGTGAAGCCATAGGTTATTCTATTCTGAATACTGTTGTGTTAAAAGGCCAATTAGAACAATCATGCTAATACACATGTCTTGTCTGGCTTCCAATACATATGCAAATTCACCTGACACTTAATAAAGGTGGCAAAACCTGCTTGTAAAGGTGATGATTGCATAATTGCTATTCAAACATGGCTGTCTGAGAGAGAGATAATGATAGCTAGAGGTTCTATGGAATGAAACTCACTTCCGATGTGACATCCCAGCTTCCAGTGGAATCTTATGATCTAACTAAGGAGGTTTAAAATCAAAACCTTCCTGATCTAACTCTCTGCTTTAGATTTTGAATATTAGATCCCAAATGGAATAAACCACTTTTCCTTTGGGAATTCCATATACTGTCAAAACACACTGGTTGCTAAGGCCATTACATGTAACAACCACTGCTGATATTACTTTGAATAGATAATTGCCACACCCAGACCTTGAAAATTTAAATCACTGTCAACCATGAAGAAAAAGAGCTTTAGCAAATATATAGGGCCTGAATTAGAGCTGCCAATACACAATTCGTCTGGCTTCCAATACACATGCAAATTTTCCAGACACTTCTAAAACCTATCACAGTAATAACTCTAGAATACTTATAACTTATAAGTAAGAAGAAAAAGTGCTAAACGTTTCTAATCTAGATTGATGACTGGTGTTTTCTTCCAAACAGATGCAATGTTTAGTCGTCAAACAAGAGACAACAACAACAACAAATAACCAATGTAAACAATCTAGTCGTGGTTGGTTGCTAGCCACCGACTTGATACAACCACCAACATAAAGTGTTTGTCAACGTATTTCAACAACAATGGCTGCAGGAAAGGACTGGTAAATAAGTCACATCATCTATTATTTCAATAACTAGCAATTTCCCTTCCTTTGTAATCAATCAATGGGAAGTAAATATACTAAACTGATGGGATTAGCTTAGCCCATTCATTTGGGTTTTACCTTTTCTTTCTGGTTGAAGGTAAGTCCAACTTGTTCTAACTTACTCTATGTCGCATTACAAAATACAGTTTTAGGCTTTTAGCAATAGCTAAGTCGTACACATACACCAAATGCAGCTGTTTGTTGCTAGGCAACGGCTTGGGGTCACCTCATGCCCCCCTCCCCAGAACGTTTGATATAAACAAGGGTGTCAAAAACAAACGGAGAAACTTACATCCTTATAATCCGTAGCCATGAAGCCCCAGTCCATGGGCCATTTCTTGTAAGCCCTGTGCTCCTGGGCTATGCGAGCTTTCCTGTCGGAAAAAAAAGAAAGAAATAAAGTCATGAGCGGCCATGTTTACGTTCTGAATCAGGTCAGAATTGACACATCGTAAGCCTTTTGAATTAAAATGCTGCGATTCCTAAGTGCAGTTTGTACTACTAGTGAATTTTAGATGCCTGTCCGTAGTGACGTTGCCAGGATTCTAATGTGGGGGGAATATTGGCAGACATTAGAGCAGTAGCAGACGACCTTTGCAGGGGACGCGAGGGCTGGGCCCGCGCCAGAAACTACCCACCATATCTGATCGAGCGCCCAAATATTGCAGGCGGCCGCCCTGTTGCTGGGCGCCGCGCCACCCTTGACTGCTGCCGCGGTAGCCATCCGTTCTCAACACCCGCAGACGATTTTTGGAGGAGAGGCGAGCCCTTCCCGAGCGTTGTGGCTGGGATTTCTCCGGCGGTGTAAAGTTTGCCGAGTGTCGGGCGGCTGCCGCTATGGCAACCGGACGCGACCTGTAATTCAATCCGACCGGTCGTCAATCACCCTTGGGTCAGTCCTTCCACCCGACCGACAGAAAAAAATCCAAATATCTGACCAAAATTTTCAAACCTGAACGACCCACTGAGCTGTCGTTTGAGAGGATTATTCCTCACTGAGGGACCTGCATGTTCAGAATTCTAAATTTCGGCCGGGTTTTTTAGGTGTGTTAACTGGTTAAAATTCACGTTCGGCGATGTTCGGGGCGCTCTCGCGCTTTGCACGAACTTCCGGGGCCGTGAGGCGGTTTGTGGAAAAAACGGTAACATTATTATCTGTTAAATATCGTTTCAGTGCGGACAAAATTCAGCGTATCCAGTAAATATCTGTGCAAAAATAGGAACGAATTTTTTATCTGGGTATAACGATGCAGAAATCGGACGGATTTTTGATCGGAATAGAAAAATTAGACGAGTCGAGTATCGCGACGCACCCCCTGATAAGAGCCTCCACTGGCGCACGAACCATTATTTTGAAATTCATCATGCGCAGTCCCGACCAACATGGCGGGCCGAGTGTCATAAATTTTTATTCTTTTGCAATTTTGTGCACCCAAGAACACGCCGTGGCGCGGCCTGGAGTGTTCCTATGCTAGATTTCGGCGTGCAGAGGCAGTTTTTCCGCGGAAGATGCCCGTGCTGCTAATGCTGTTAGGTGAGGATGTGTAGCAATGTGGTGGGGTTGGCACTTCCGGTTGGGCCCTCATTTGGTTTCCGGTTGCTCGGACCATGCACTTACACTACCTTTTTCTCTTCTTTTCTCCAGTTTTCCTGCTGCAAGATGTCCTGCTAGCCGAAGGTAAGGATATGTCCTCCATTCGGACCAGATTGCACCCCTTGTAAGGTCCCCACGGCGTGCGTACCCCGTCGGGAGCCGCCGTTCTAGTTTATTGTGGTTATGTACAGGTCGTTGGAGCTAATTTGACACTTGCATTAATTAATTTATGATTAATAATATATAAATAAGTTGATTTGGAGTAGAAGCGCACGGCGTACGGTCCTCTAATTTTGAGAATTTTTCGGGGAATTTTTCACGTTGGCACAGCGCCCGTTTGGACCTGACCCCTTGGGTCACATACACAATACATACAGACGGGGCTGTCATGAAATGGTGGGTAGACCCTACATATAGGTCAGAGTTCTGCCCTGTTTTCCCCTCCTTCTCCAACCCCGACATTTTTGACATGTCTGTATTCTGTTCAGAAGTAACGTTTGGGTTTGCTCGCCGCTGTGCTGCGTCATTTCTGGGTGATATTCTGCGGTTAGATTGCGCTGTAGGCTCGGCTGTCTAGACGCCCATTATATGCCGCGCCTGGAAACTAGACACCGTGCACTCGGGGCTCCAGACAGTGCGGTTTTCCTCAAGCATTCACTCCCAAAAAAATCCTCCGCAACCAAACCGTCGCCCGCTCACGGCTTGAAGAGGCAGAATTTTCGGAAGGTTGCGGTTTGACACTCGTGCACGGAGCGGGCTGTGGACGTGTGGAGAGGGAGGAAAGCTATTTTCTAGGTCAGTTGATTTTTCCTTGAGTGGATATGTGGCTGGCTGAAATATAGGCACTAGGGGATGGGCTGGAGAAGGCAGTGGCAGACTGACAGGTCTGGCTCTCCCCAACATCACTCACTCTCTGGCACGCTTAAGTGTAGCTGCGAGGCATTGTCAGATATTGTCAGGGGTATATACAGTGGAAGAACAGTTCCTGGGCTTCTCTACCAGGTGGTACTTGTTTTTCTTGGCAGGGGGAGTGAGGTATTGAGGCAGGGAGGGTAGGTGTGTACAGGAGCAAAGGACAGGTCTGGAGAAGGGTCACCTCACATGTGTAGTATATCAACTCTTGTCCCCAAAACATTTCATCTGAGATGTTTCCACCGAGGTCACATCCTCGTTGGCGTTTTTTCGGTTGGCGTGATTCCGCGCGAGGCTCCGAAAATATGGTTGTTTACCAGCTTCGCAGACAAGAAAGCCAGAAATGCTCCTAGGCACAGAGAAACCATAGGGTCCTGGTCATGACATTTGGATTTTTATGGGGATCATGTGACGTTCGGTCTGTCAAAACAGGCTCCAGCTCTTCCAGCTTGCCTGCCCTTTGTCCAGAGAAACATGCCACGATTTCGCTTCAGTCCCCGCCGCTGGGTTTATTCGTATTTTTCGTGCAAATTCGCAGTACGCTTTTTTTCTTCTCCTTCTCCTTGTCTGGGAGTGCAGGGATGTAGTGGTAGTGCAGTGTGCTGAGGGGTTAGATTAACCGAATATCTGGTGCTTCGAATCTAGGTCACAGCTGCATATAGACAGCCTTCTCCATTATCCAATCCTTATCTAGAGGCATTAAAGACTGAGGATGGTACCAGAATTCTCCACTGACATTTCAACAATATCCTTCTCTTCTCTATTTTTTTTTATCATCGAAGACTCGGAATTCTTGAGCAGTGTTTGAGTCTTTTCAAAGCTGGCAATTATATAAAGAACACTTAAAATGTGCAAAGCAGAAATATACTGTATTGACAATATTTTGAGACCTATACCATCATAGTCTTTTGGACATCAGATTCTTCTACTAATATTTTGTTCTTAAATCTGTATTACCAGACACTAATCATGTACATAAAGCAATTTAGAAGGTGGTTAATACTTAATTAATTAAGCAGTCTTAGAGGGTACTTAAACCTATTCATACCCCAAATAATTAAACATACCTGTTCTACTTTGACTTCTAAGGTGCTAAAATGATTTCAGTACATTTGTACATGTAAGCTTTTATCATATATTCTGAGTCATTGAATGATATTCTATACTACTGTAAGTATGTTAGGTATACTGCAACAATTAGACATACACATGGTGTATATCAGGGAGACCTATATAAAACCTGTCATACAAACCTGGCGATTGCCACAATCATATTTTTCCCCCGTGCGCGGCCTGGGTTGCCCTTGACTCTTGTCTTTTAAGGACTTGGTGTGAAAGGCCCAGACTGCACTCAGTATTCACGCTTGGCTCTTGTTTGACTAGCCTGCTGTTCACCTTATTGGCCAGGCATCTCCGCACTTTCAGACAATTAATTGCGTCTGGGGGAAACAATAAGCCATGCCCAAGAGCGACTGCCGTGGACATAGCTCATGTGGTGGCTCCAACTCCGTAAAACGGATTCGGTATGCATAATGTAGGCTGCGAGGGGTCAGGTGAGCATGCATGTTGTCGTGCATGAGTTCTTGTCAAGCCTCCAACTCCCGATCCATTTTTTCTCTCCCGCTTTCTCTCTCTCTCTCTCCCCAACAAAGCATATTATTAATATTGATCCGCCCCGTCTAGACTGAACAACCCCGAGAGCTGGCATTTTTAGAATGTTCCAGAAAGGTGCGTGTGGTTGTGTTGTAAAGTGGGATCTAATTGGGCCCCAGAAGAAAGTGCTACTAAAGGTCCGGAGTGGGCAGGCAGCCTGCCTCGCATGAAAAATTCTGTATGTGACAATGAACATGACTAACTGGGTAGGCAGCCGGCCCCGGCAACTAGACACAGCTTCGGGGTAATCAGGTTTTAGGCACTTATCCATGTTCTTCACAGATTTTAGAACAGTTACTGCTGTAGATTCGTAAATGCGTTCGCAGCGTCGAGAATTTGTGGCACGTACGGCGAGAAAATGAAGTGTTTGCGTTATCGTGTTTGCGGTTGAAACAATAGTATGAATACAATGGAAGGCAGGATATGTGTGTTTGTGGTGGGATGACCTCTCACCACAAAAACCGCACGAGCTTTGCAGCACATGGATGTATTCAAACTCGGTTAAGTTACAAAACTCCGGGTGTTCAATTGGAATTCATGGAAGTGTTTTTTTTTTCCTTCTTAATTTCAGAATCTCTCCGTGTGTAGTAACTATTGTCCCCTGATACATGTTCTGCATTTTTTTGGTCTGGGATTTCAAACCTTGTGTGTGAAAATATGTGTTAGCTTTATGTTGGAATAATCAAAATGTTTTAAGTTTTTTTTTAATTTAACTAACATTTCAGTATTATGGAAATTATTGATTTCTGAACTCACTGTTTCGTTTTTACTAGTACATACTTCCCAAATTCTGATTGGTGCAGGTGAAATTTCTCTGGTATAGGTAATTATGAACACACCAGTGCAGGTATGCAAAAGAGGTATTTCAAGTCCATAAAGGCCACTGAATGTATGACCTATATATCCTTGTAATACATTACATTGATACTATCAGGTAGCCATTGCTTGTCATCAATCCTTTAAATGATAAGTATTATTTTTGGACAATAGCGTCACAGTATGTAATAAATACATGCAAAAAATTTTTTAAGATGAATAAATGTTAACTAATAGTGTCATGATTAGATTCTGAACAATGATTACCGATAATATTATACACGTCTATACTTAAAGCATTAACCGGAAATCGCATGAAGGGAAAGAAATTAAGAAAAAACTGAAAAGATGTCATTTTTACGTTTGGCTTGCCGGTGAAATTATAACCCCATGCAAAGAAACACCATCACTCTACCGATAATATAAATAGATACTTAACGAAATGTACATCCTCACAATGTAAATGTACTGTCAAACCTACGTATACAAGTACATAAGGACCACCTGGCCGGTGTAACCACTTTTTGGTGGCCCTTTAAATAATTTTGCCATTGACAATAAACATTAAGAATCCTGTCTATAGTGACCACCGGACCAGATTTTATCAGTCCTCTGAGTGGTCTTCTTGGGCAGTTTTGACTCTCTTTGCTGAAGCAATTTACATATTTATCCAAAATACAATTTTTTACTCTCACAGATTGCAGAAATCCAGGACAAGCAGCTGCAGTTGGAAGCTTTATTGAAATTGTTTGGTAGAGTCTAGTTGTAAATTTATTCTATGCTCAATATAACAATATGACAGGTTTCTTTTTTCTCTTCTTTTTGATTTGTTAAAAGAAAATTTAAGTTACATGTACATATATATCATAATATTTTTCTGTCACAATCTTGTTTCTAAAAAGTAACAAGCAAAATTAATGCACAATGTTTTGCATTGTCAGCAAATGCTAAAAAAATAGCCCAAGCAAATAACCATACCAATAAGAATACAAGCCCAAGCTCAAGTACTATTTCAAAGTGCTTTTTGTACATAAACGTGTTCGTTTTGAACCCCAGCAAATTAAACCCATCACACAAAGCAGTGCTACTATTTTACATGCAGAAAAGATGGGAGGAATGATATGCACCAGCTATATCATATGTTACATGTACAATGGTGACAGCACCCACCCAATTTAGGAGATTGCAGTAAAGATGTCTGAATGTTAAGTGCCACTTTTGTCTTCCTCGAATGTCTTCATTCTGTTGAAGAAAGCAGTTTGAATTGGGCACACATGCATATTATCTGCAAACTATAGACGGTGGTGGTATACTATTACTAGTATACCTTAACCTTCATACTGCCAAGGTAGCCATTTGGCATACGCATAAGATTTGCCCTTATACTAAATACTGTTTAGAAACCATTGCCATTATTTCTCTTATACTTAATAGCTGGTAAGAGTCAATGCAGCAAATATAAATCCACAAACATCTACCATCCAGTACATGGACCGGTGCAGGTAGACATGTACATCAGAAATACCTGCACAGCTCCAATTTTACCTGCACTAACCTGTATATACCCAGTACATGGACCAGAGTATTAGGAAATTAGGTGCAGGTATACATCAGAAATACCTGCACAGCTCCAATTTTACCTGTGCTAACCTGCATATAGTATACCCAGTACATGGACCAGTGTAGATTATTAGGTGCAGGTA